AGCAGATTTATCTCCGTAATTCTACTTTTAACATGGCGACCTTGACCTTGAAAAAATATAGCCATTTGGGCGATAATAGGTGATTCAAAAGTGAAAATGAGTGCATTTTTCGTAGTTTTACTTTGACCAAGCCTAGAAAAAAATCGAAGTGGTAAACCTACCCCCAATTTTTGATATTTTCGTTGTCTAGAAGTGTCCCAGATGATATCAAAGTTTAAGAAAATTTGTATGTCTAGAAATATTTTATAAATTAGTGCCAATATGGTGGGTTTGGGTGTTTTTTTGCTCTAATTTTTTACCCCATTTCTACGGTTGCCATGGCAACTATAAGGCTTTGGTAACCATGCCAACTTGATTTTTGAAGGACATCCACCTGATAGTAGTTGGGCCAAGTTTGATGGAAAATGGGCATGGTTTGATATGCTGACAGTGAGGTTGATTGTGGCATGTAGTAAAACGGCAAAAGAATGGTGGAGTCATACCTATTACTAAAATGAATGAAAATCAACCAGAAAGATGAGAAACTTTTTTTCAAGGTATTGCAAGATGAACAATTTCACCTGCATGTGCACCAATTGAGCTATTTTTTAATGTACACTTACAGTTGGGGACATAAATAAATGACAGGTGGATTTGCTGAAGTGAGGATTTCCCATGTTAAAAATAAGAGAATTTACAAGAGGCCATACATCAGTGGATGAGATTATACAAAATGTAAAATATACAAATTTTAAGGGATATGTATCTAGACAATATTGGAAATTATGGGCTTTCAGACCACCATAATTAGGAAATGGTGATCGAAAATCGACCTGTCATTTATTTTTGTCCCCAACTGTAGGTAACCGTTAACTTAATCAAAAGTACAAAAAAATGGCAGCCATATATTTTTGACTTAGTCACATGATTTTGTATTCTGTTTTCCTTATATATGAATGCATTTTCTGACTAAAGAGACATGTCAAAGAAAATTTCACTTTAAGGCGACGCTATATTAAATAAAAAGTACAAAAAATGACTGCCATATTTTTTTGATAAAGACACATGTTTTTAAAATCTGTTTACCTTGTATATGAATTGTGTATCTTGACTAATGAAACATGTCAAAGTTAACATCACACATAAACGCATTTTTCCAAACTATGAATTGGAGGTGCATGGATCCCCAAAGCTAGCATGAAGAGTGCGAAGTGAGGCTAATTTTTGAAAGTTTCAAGGAGTAGCCTTGCAACAGTCACACATTTGCAAGAGTCTAAAATTTCCACAAATCATTTTAACTTTCCCCATTAACAACGAAGGAGCATGAAAATGTGCACTTCTTGCATTGTTAGAGTATAATAAAGCTCAAACCATTGTAAATTCTAAATATTTCATGTCCACATTTTGTTTGCCGGAACTACTTCTAGACTTCCTGATTAATCCTCATGCAAGTTTTGTGACTACACCAAGTGGCAAGGATAATCACTTGTATGTTTTATTTATTACAGTGTAATTATCATGATAGATACATGATAGAGGCTTTATGAATGATAAACAATGGAAACATGAATGAAGATAACTCTGGACTAAAAAATAGTTCCAGGAAACAAAATGGTGGACATGAAATATTTAGAATTCACAATGGTTTGAGCTTTATTATACTCTAACAATGCAAGAAGTACACATTTTCGTGCTCCTTCGTTGTTCCTTGGTAAGGTAAGACTATATCTAGAAATTTTGAATTCTTGCAAATGTGTGACTGTTGCAAGGCTACTCCTTGAAACTTTCAAAAATTAGCCTCACTTCACACTCTTCATGCGAGCTTTGGGGAGCCATACACCTCCAATTCATAGTTATGAAAAATGCGTTTAAATGTGAGGTTTTCTTTTATGTGTCTCTTTAGTCAGGAAATGCATTCACATACAAGGAAAACAGTATACAAAATCTTCTGACTTTATCAAAAAAATATGGCTCCCATGTTTTTGTACTTTTGATTAACTTAAATGTCACCTTAAAGTGTCTCACATATTCGATCAAAACTTGCCATGCAAACATGTTAGTCTACTTTACTGGCTCCCCTTGCTGTAACAAGGAACCCAAAACACATTAAAACGTAAACATAAACCAATTAGTCACTTCACTATGAAAGTGAGGGGTGTTAGTGTATTAGTAGAATACGCTGTGTGCATAGACTAACACAGTATTAGTGGTCATTTACTGTGTCAACTTAGTAACCCTTGCATATCGTGCTCACTCAAGTATTGAATAATTTTTTTATGATCTAAATGTTTGTGGTTTATAAAAAAATGTGATATATTTTAGTTAGAAATACATTAATTAATATATTCATTCAAACAGCACTAGAATGCGGGAAGAAAGAGCAATGGTGACAAAATGCATTTCTGAGCACAATCATACATGTACTTCATGTGTACTGTTATTTTTAGTGCTGTATTTATAGGTATAATTTCACGTATTAAAATCATATTTTCCAGCAATGACTTCAAATTCGGAACCACACCCATATCACATTAACTTCAATAACTCCAAACATGTGTAAACATTGACCATGTGCATATAAATTCAGATTTCACGAGCTCTTTCCTATTCGAGTACCTCATACACCCCTGCATGGCTTTGAGTTGGATTCGCCTTTTATAGGCGAGCCGACACACTCGCAAACGCTGATTGGATAAAGATTGCGAGAATCTTTAAACACATTTTTTATAACTATGAATTGGAGGTGCATGGGTCCCCAAAGCTAACATTATGACCGTGAAATGAGGCTAACTTTTGAAAGTTTGAAGGAGTAGCCTTGCAACAGTCAAACATTTGCAAGAATCCAAAATTTCCACAAATCATCTTACCTTACCAAGGAACATCGAGGGAGCATGAAAATGTTCTTGTATTGTTAGAGTATGATAAAGCTCAAACCATAGTTTCTGATAAATGTTTCATGTCCACCATTTTTCTTGCCGGAACTACTTCTAGACTTCCTGTAATCCTCATATAAGTTTTTGTGGCTTCACCAAGTGGCATGGATTATCACTAGTATACTTTATATATAACAGTATAATAATCATTATAGATACATAATTGATGTTTTTTAAATGTAAACAATGGATACATGAGTGAGGATTATTTTGGACTAGAAAATAGTCCCAGCAAACAAAATGGTGGACATGAAATATTTAGAATTGACTTTGGTTTGAGCTTTATTATACTCTAACAATGAAGTACACATTTTAATGCTCCTTCAGTGTTCCTTGGTAAGGTAAGATGATTTGTGGAAATTTTGGAGTCTTACAAATGTGTCTCCATTGCAATCCTACTCCTTGAAATTTTAAAAATTTATCCTCACTTCACTGTCTCCATGCTAGCTTTAGGGACCCATGCACCTCCAATTCAGCATTAAAAAAAAGCGTTTAAATGTGAAGCTTTCTTTGACATGTCTCTTTAGTCAGGAAATGCATTCACATATAAGAAAAACAGAAAACAAGATCTTGTGACTTAGTCAAAAAAATATGCCTGCCATTTTTTTGTACTTTTGATTAACTTAAGCGTTACCTTAACTTTTACAATCAACTGCTAACAAGCGCTGTATTTATATAACATTTCCCAAGTTTTCTACAAAGTGTGTTCATATCCATAAAAAGGATAGTATGCACATTTTCGTACTTCTTCTCCATACAATAGTTGAAAAGTGGAATAGCGTATACTTGAACCTGCGTAATTGCATCCATTCTTGACTTTCTTTAATGGTATTTTTCTCAGTATAGAAGTGCCATATTGTTTTGATTTTTGAATATATATAAGTTATGTTGATTGATTTTTCTCTGCATTTATTTCAGGCTGGAACATGTCTTCCCGATATGGACCTATATACAGATACACCCAAAGATAAAGTCAATATTGCTGAATTGTTTAAAGACAAGAAAGGAATCCTGTTTGCTGTCCCTGGGGCATATACCCCTGGCTGTGCTCAGGTATGGAAATAGAAGTGTTATTTGTCATTTATCTACCTTCTCAGCTTTGGAATATGTTATTGCAACCTCATCATGATAAACCATGACATCTCATTTCTTCTCAGCCTTTCCCCCTTCAGGTGAAACAGAAAGATGCTATGAGTATCAGAATGTTGCAAACTCATTCATCTACCATTTGATTGGCTGCCAAACTGAACATGATCCATTTGCCCAATGTGCATTCCATAAAATTTATTTATTCTTTTGATTTATATGATAACCTTTCTTACTTTAATGTGTATAGTGAGAACTTCTTGAATTTGCAAAAGGGGAACTTCACATATTAGTAGATTCTCTCATTATTGACAATATTAGTCCATTTATACTTATAATGGGTTCCAATTTTTGAGTAACCCAGTATTTTGAGTTTGATGTTTTATTTGTTTGTTTTATTTTGTCACCACAATAGTCTCCAACCTTTTTGTGGATGGTGGTTGGTGTTCGGTGGTTTGTATCTGGTGGTCGGTGTCTGTAACAATCTCACTGTGCCTGTAATAAATTTTGACAACTTTCAATAACTTAACAAGTACTGTTTAAACTGACTTCAATTTTTTCAAAATCACCTAAAAGTTCAAATCTGACTTTTGATTTTAAATTTCACCTTCCTTCAATAACCTTCTCAAGGCAAAAAAAGTCGTTTTTACATTACATAAGGGGTTGAAATAATTATGTTACATACAATAATAAAAACAATTAAAATGTTTATTTACAACCAATCCCTGGTGTTGACAGACGTCAGGCTACCGCGTTGACGCCGTCAAGTTACTACTATCTGTTACATACAATAAGAAAAACAAGTTCTCCACCTAATATTTGCTGTTGACGGACGCCAGGCTACCGCGTTGGCGCCGTCAGTTAACCTACACTTTACCTATTACCCTTTAGCTACAATATGATATTGTCCAACTATCATTTATCAAACCAAATCTCATTGTAAAATTATGGTTAACTATCAAAAATCTACATTTGGTCTTGCCTCATACATTCTTTAGACTTTAGATTTGTGATTCATCTTTGGTTGACCTTCCAATGACCTTAAAAGCTCAAAAATGTTGATTTTTCAAATTGATTTTTTGGATCCAAATATTTTGAATTGTAACCAGATGGTGTCATTTTGTAATGCCTTGTATTTACATGCTATTTCAGGCTCATATCCCTGAGTACCTTCAACACTGGGATACATTCATAGCTGAAGGGATTGACATAATGGCATGTGTTGCAGTCAATGACCCATTATCATTATATATTTTATATTACATGTTATTTCAGGCTCATATCCCTGAGTACCTTCAACACTGGGATACATTCATGGCTGAAGGGATTGACATAATGGCATGTGTTGCAGTCAATGACCCATTAACATTATATATTTTATATTACATGTTATTTCAGGCTCATATCCCTGAGTACCTTCAACACTGGGATACATTCATGGCTGAAGGGATTGACATAATGGCATGTGTTGCAGTCAATGACCCTTTTGTCATGGCAGCTTGGGGGAAAGAAGTAGATCCTGAAGGAAAAGTATGAAACATTTTTGTTTATTTCTTTATATCAATCAAATTATGCATATTTTTTTATATTAGTTTCTTTGCATGGAATGTTCACAAGCAGTCACCTTTGCATCAATACGAAATCAGTCTTTAACTACAATATGATCCCAAAGCAAAAATTTGGGTTGATTTTCAAGAATGAAGTAAAATGAAAGTTATGAAGAGCAAATAGAGCACTTTGAATCTTAAACAAATTAAATATATTGTGGTGATTTCGGGAGATATATTTGAGATCATGAGTAATATGGTAATACTAGCTCTCATTCTGCCAAGCATCACTAGAAATATAGTTAAATGTATTTTGTTAAATCCTTTGATTTCAGATGACATGGCTTGCTGATACACATTGTGAGTTTACAAAATTCATGGGTATGGAACTTGATGCTTATAAACTGCTGGGAAACACAAGGTCAAAAAGGTAAATTTTGATTTGTATTATAATTCCCTAAACAGAATATTTTCTTTCAGTATTGTATGAAGTATGGAGAAATTATTTGTTTCCAGTGCTATACCCATTGGCTTTCAAGAAATGCACAATAAATAATAATGTATCAGTAATAATAAATCAGTTTTGCCTCATCTTGGTTAAACAGCTTTTTTACCATATGAGCTCCTCGAATGGTGCCATGTTTTCTTAAGCTCTTGCGCAATTTCATTGTTCACCATGGGGCATTTGTCATTTCTGTTTTTAACCCATATATCAATTTGTGTTCCTTATGAACAATGGGACATTTGTCATTTCTGTCTTTAACCCATCTATCAATTGTGTTCTTTATGAACAATGGGACATTTGTCATTTCTGTCTTTAACCCATATATCAATTTGTGTTCTTTATGAACAATGGGACATTTGTCATTTCTGTCTTTAACCCATCTATCAATTGTGTTCTTTATGAACAATGGGACATTTGTCATTTCTGTCTTTAACCCATATATCAATTTGTGTTCTTTATGAACAATGGGACATTTGTCATTTCTGTCTTTAACCCATATATCAATTTGTGTTCTTTATGAACAATGGGACATTTGTCATTTCTGTCTTTAACCCATATATCAATTGTGTTCTTTATGAACAATGGGACATTTGTCATTTCTGTCTTTAACCCATATATCAATTTGTGTTCTTTATGAACAATGGGACATTTGTCATTTCTGTCTTTAACCCATCTATCAATTGTGTTCTTTATGAACAATGGGACATTTGTCATTTCTGTCTTTAACCCATTTATCAATTTGTGTTCTTTATGAACAATGGGACATTTGTCATTTCTGTCTTTAACCCATATATCAATTTGTGTTCTTTATGAACAATGGGACATTTGTCATTTCTGTCTTTAACCCATCTATCAATGTGTTCTTGATGAACAATGGGACATTTGTCATTTCTGTCTTAAACCCATATATCAATTTGTGTTCTTTATGAACAATGGGACATTTGTCATTTCTGTCTTTAACCCATATATCAATTTGTGTTCTTTATGAACAATGGGACATTTGTCATTTCTGTCTTTAACCCATATATCAATTTGTGTTCTTTATGAACAATGGGACATTTGTCATTTCTGTCTTTAACCCATCTATCAATTGTGTTCTTTATGAACAATCGGACATTTGTCATTTCTGTCTTTAACCCATCTATCAATTGTGTTTTTTATGAACAATGGGACATTTGTCATTTCTGTCTTTAACCCATCTATCAATTTGTGTTCTTTATGAACAATCGGACATTTGTCATTTCTGTCTTTAACCCATATATCAATTTGTGTTCTTTATGAACAATGGGACATTTGTCATTTCTGTCTTTAACCCATCTATCAATTGTGTTCTTTATGAACAATGGGACATTTGTCATTTCTGTCTTTAACCCATCTATCAATTGTGTTCTTTATGAACAATGGGACATTTGTCATTTCTGTCTTTAACCCATATATCAATTGTGTTCTTTATGAACAATGGGACATTTGTCATTTCTGTCTTTAACCCATATATCAATTTGTGTTCTTTATGAACAATGGGACATTTGTCATTTCTGTCTTTAACCCATCTATCAATTGTGTTCTTTATGAACAATGGGACATTTGTCATTTCTGTCTTTAAGCCATATATCAATTTGTGTTCTTTATGAACAATGGGACATTTGTCATTTCTGTCTTTAACCCATCTATCAATTTGTGTTTCTTTGTAAATCATGGGACATTTGTCATTTCTGTCTTTAACCCATCTATCAATTGTGTTTCTTTATGAACAATGGGACATTTGTCATTTCTGTCTTTAACCCATCTATCAATTTGTGTTTCTTTGTAAATCATGGGACATTTGTCATTTCTGTCTTTAACCCATATATCAATTTGTGTTTCTTTATACACCATGGGGACATTTGTCATTTCTGTCTTTAACCCATAAATCAATTTGCATTTCAGGTATTCACTTATTGTAGAAAACAGTATAATTACAACTATAAATATGGAACCTGATGACACTGGACTTGCCTGTCTCTTGTGTATACGCAGTATGAAACAGAAAAACACTGAAACCATCTTGAAGAAAAAATCTTCCCAAGTATAGTATTACATTTAATGCATTTGATACAGAGTAGCCAAACTGAAGGATAGCAGATTTTGGATGCGAATAGTGATAAACAGAAAAAGGTTGATCATTTCTGAAAGAAAGATCATCTGAAAGGAAGTTTTGGATAAAACTGAGTGAATCAGAAATTGTGCTTAGCATTAAAATGCATTGGAATGAATATCGTATGAATGCAGTATCACACAAACAAAATAATAGTCTTTCTTTCAAGGTAGCATTCACTACCAATACAGACTGGGAGTAAACCAAAGTAGTGGTTTGTGTAATAACTACATTAAAATGGATTTCACGGAATTGCAGTATCACATCAGTTTAAAATGGATAACCATCCTTACTACAATAAGCTCAGGCATAAAGAATTCTTCAAGCTCTGTACTTAAGTAGCATGCATTACCGATAAAAATGTGTAATAACATTAAAATGTATTTTTATGAATGCAATATGACAACATTAGGGGACATTAGAATCATAGAAGGGACATTGTGCTTTTGCAGTAGCAGTTGTTGGATTTACACTAGAGCCCTAAGATGTCTTGGGTAAAACGTTTTAGTGTTGAAACGATTACAAATGTAATGTAAATCCAGATTTTATAAGAGCTCTCGGCTAAGAGCGCTTAGCTAAAACGTTTTAGGACCCGAGTCATTGCCAAGACATCTTAGCATTAAAACTTTTTACAAGTGAGTATAAATCCAGCTAAGAGCTCTTAGCCCGGGTTTTTGCATTACACTGTATGAAAAATTTTAAACTACCTGTTTACATGTGTCACATGGTCCTTTCTCTTGTCTCATCCCAAAAATATCGAAAAGAACTAATTCGCCTGGCGATCTATCATAATCCTAATATACGCACAAATTCTTCCTGCTCTCTTTCATGCTTTTAACAACGCTCTCTTCAGGACTCATTTTTGTGAAACCGATGCATTCTTTAGCACAAAGTATAGAAGCGGGTAAGGAATGGCTATATTGACTGAACCGAGCTTAAATCAGTTCTGAACTGCTTTTTCTCATTTTACATGTATACGTACATATCTCTAAGACGTTTTAGAAAAACAGGTGTAATAGTGCAGTCAGAATGAGGGTTTAGACGTGCGTTCAGAGGGATTTTATGGGACATAATTTTTCATGTTGCTAGTATGATTTTACATATTTGTATGGATTATTAGATCTTAGTTTTTCAGCTTTTAGATTTTGTGGCCATTTTACCCCCCATGGGCTATAATTTGGACCCCTACTATAAAATTGGGCTGGAACTCCGAAAATACTCAGTGGAATGTATCCAAATTACTTGGATATATTGGTATGGGCTAACTGAATATATGATAAAAATTTCATGTCACATGATTAAGCGGTTGCCATGGAAACAGATAAAACATACCCTTCATGTGTTGATTTTCAGGCCATTTTTCAGAAATGATAGAGTCATTTCATGCATATTTTGTCACCATTGTGTTAGGAAGGGTTAAAGTATGAATAGAAAACTTCTATAATATATTAGCAACAATCTTATATAAAGATTAGTCCACAGGATTTCAGATTTCAGCCTTATATGGGTCCATGATTTATACAGGGGTCTATTTCACAGACTCGAACCCCCACATTAGATGGATGCTATAACTTTTGAAATAATGGAGATACAGGTCTCTTTTTTTCAGATCTTCATAAATGGTTGGTTTTAAGTATTGTATTATACTTTGGGAGCTGGTATGTGATTGATTGCTATGGTAACCAAGGTTTTATGGAAATTCGGACCCCACATTGGATGGATGCTATAACTTTTGAAATAATGGAGATACAGGTCTCATTTTTTCAGATCTTCATAAATGGTTGGTTTTAAGTATTGTATCATACTTTGGGAGCTGGTATGTGATTCGTTGCTATGGTAACCAAGGTTTTATGGAAATTCGGACCCCCACATTGGATGGATGCTATAACTTTTGAAATAAGGGATATATGTGTCTCATTTTTTCAGATCTTAGACAATGATTGATTTTAAGGATTGATTCAGACTTTGGGAGCTGGTATTTGATTGGTTACCATGGTAATCAGGGTTTTGTTGAAATTCAGACCTCCACAATTGATAAACGCTATACATATACAGGCAGATACAAATATCATCTTTTCAGATATAAGATAATAATAAAATGTGTATATTGTATTAGACTTTGGAAGTTAGGATTTACTTGGTTGCCATGGTAACCATGTTTCATTTTCATGGTAACTGCCGTTTTTGTTTTTAGATTCACCTTCATTCTAGATAGGTCAATACATGATATAATATACCAAATTGCCATTTTATTCTTAATTTTTGGATTTTTTCTATTTTATATGATTAACATGCTCATGTCTCATTAATACTAGAGAGGCGAAAATTGTTTGGCTCAGAAAATATCAAATACTAGTAAACAATACACATATATTTATATCTGACAATATTGCCTCATTCCATACTAGTTCTCACAAATATTCTGACTCCTAACTTGTTCATTTTTACTCATCATTACTGTTTTCATTTTTCACAATTG